TTTTGCCCTCGGGAGGGTCTGCCGGCACCAACCAGCGCGCGGGGGGGAGCCGCACAGGGGCGTTCCTTGGCCGCGCGTGCGCAGTAGCTTCGCGCCAAATTTTGAGCGCCGGTTCCAGCGACCGGCCAGTTGCCTCCGCCGCTCCCGACCTGCAGCGCCGGATTCCCCCTGCGTGCGGTGCCACCATGATCGGGCAGAAGTCCTTGTTCTCCTTTTTTACGGCGGCGCCCGGGAGGAAGAGAACTCGCTCTCCGGAGACAGCCGCGGCAACTGAGGTATTTTGTTTTTGTCACGAAGAGTTGGACACGACTTAATGACTGAACAAGAACAACAACGAGGAGCTTTACGAGTACTGTGAGGACAGAGAAGGGCGCGCTTTGTGGAGACTCGGAGGGAGGTAGCGGGGCATGTTTTCGGCTGGCGTGTTTTCGCGGGTAAAAAAGAGCTGCAGTCTGAGGTACCGACCAATGGGAAGCTCCCGAAGTCTCTCTGTGGGAGGCGCGCTGGGCCCGGAGGCGGTCACGTGACCTGGCGAACCAACGAGGATCAACGCTACCTTAGCAACCCAAGGGAGAGGCGGGCCCTAGCTCAAAGATTTGATCGCGATTGGTTGTAAGGGGTAATGCCTACTCTACCCGCAATCCAATTAGAGGACGAGGCGGGCCAAGGGAAGCCGGGAGCATGATGGCATGGACCAATAGGAAAGAGGAGAGGCGCCCTTAGGCTGCGGGCCAATAAGGAGGTTGGGCGGGACGCTGGGTGTGTTTTTGCCGCGAAATGCGCTCGTGTTTCTCCGGGGCCGGAAGTGCCGGCGGAGGCAGCTGCAGCGGCTTCGCCACTATGGCAGCGGTCCTGGGAATTTGGTCGTCTCCCCGCTGCCTCTTTCCTGCTTCCCTTTCTCTGCCCCTGACCCGTTCCTTTTCCCTTTTCCAGGTCGCCAAAAGATCGAAGAATGACAGCTGCTCCCCGCGGTCTCCCCCGCTCAGCCCCGAACAGCTGGAACGCATCCGCAAAAACAAAGAGGCGGCGCTGCAGAGGCTGGCGGCCCGTACCGCCAGCTACATTCCTGCGGAGCTCGGGCAGAGCTGGAGGGTCTCGCTGGCCGGGGAGTTCTCCAAGCCCTATTTTACTCAGGTGGGCAAGAAGCCAGGATTTTTCTCCCTGTCACGCGAAAGGCTGGGTTTTCTGTGGGTTTTCTCCTTCCCTCTCTGGCTTCGAGGTCTCAGTCCAGCTAATTAACGACTAGGGGTGCTTGTCAATTTTTGAGCCTGTATTGGGGTGAAATTTAGACTGTTCTCACTGATAGGAGATTAGACAAACACTCCCTGCCCAGCAGTTCACCTTCAAGGGTTACCGCACCGTGTTAGGTATTGTTCGAAGCAGTTGGCTTATAGGCCTTTTTTCAGGCTGTTGAACATTATTAGGACCCGGTTTCTGATATAATCTGGACTGAAACCAAGAGAGGACTGCCTGAGCATGACACCGTATTTCATCTCCTGGAAACCAAATCCTGTCATTCCTGGCCAGCGGAGTTCGTGATGAGAGTTCTGGACACATCAGGCGGCAGAGGCTGTGGGACGTCGCGGCTCCTTAGTTTGCCGTGCCCTTAGTTGAGGTCTAAGCAAATGATTTTTTTCCCTTTTAATAGCTGATGACGTTTGTTGCTGAGGAACGCAAGCGCTATACCGTTTATCCTCCCCAGCATCAGGTTTTCTCTTGGACCCAGCTGTGCGATATCCGTGATGTGAGTCAACCTGTTACAATTAACCTTGACAGAGCCTGCATTTATCATCTTGCTCCTTTAGAGCGGGTAGCACTACCTTTGTTTTGGTCTTTATGGTCTCCTCTAGATATTAGCTGAGTTCACGCAACACACGTGATTTGTTCAGTAATCAATTCATCATTAAGCAAACCCTGGCTTAACGCAGTGCCTGAATCCAGGTATTTTACAACTCATAATGCCTATCACCCTGACTAGCCCCTGAATTCTGGGTAATACCACTTTTGCTGCTTTTCTGGGCTACAACTAAGAAAGAGCAACGGGTTTTCTGTTTTATCAAGTAGAAGCGTTAATCTAGACAATTATTTGAGAGCGGGAATAACTAATGCTGAGTGTTTGGATTTTTTCTGCTTTTGCTTTTAGGTAAAAGTTGTCATTTTGGGCCAAGATCCGTATCACGGGCCTGGTCAAGCACACGGGCTCTGCTTCAGCGTCCAGAGGCCAGTTCCACCTCCACCCAGGCAAGGTTCAGCTTTGGTCATGTAGTTCTGTTAGGTTCAAGGGTGCCCTGTTGTTTTAGCCTTCCTCGGAAGAGTTAACAGTCAGTTGACTGCTGAATCTATACTGTGTGAGAACATTGTGTTTCTAAGACTTGGGAAGAAAAAACTTGTTTTTCTTTATAGCCTGGAAAACATTTACAAAGAGCTTGCTACCGATATAGAAGGCTTTTCCCATCCTGGCCATGGAGATTTGACTGGATGGGCTAAACAAGGTAACCCAGAGACTTTCTTTTATTTTGAAACAGCCTTTTTCCAGTTGTTGTCATGCATTTGGTTATCCTGTCTTCATGCTTCAACTACTAGAGTTACCCAGCCTTGGTGGCCGTTCTGAAAATTGAAGGCCGCGTATTTGGAGAGCTTCCGGGCTGATTTAGTTCGTGGGTGGGTGTCTCCTAAATACGTTTTTTACTTCTCTGTTTCTAGCCTCACAATCACGTTACTAATCAAGCAATGCAAATAATCAAATCAACAGCAATTTTGTGAGGCTAGGCTTACAGCAAAACCTATAGTACCAAAAAAATAAAATAAAAATGATTGCAGTTAATAAATCAAGAGACTGTAAAAAGCACCTGCATAGACGTTGTACAAAACTATGCTTGAAAGTTGTGCTTTCCCATTAACCGGGAGAGGAAATAGCTCTAGGGCCACCCTTCCAGTCCTGTCAACTTTGACCGGAGGCTACATCCTTGGTGGGCGTATCAAGTGACACGGATTACCTAGCTTTGGTGGGAGCAAAAATTACTTTATTCCAGGGTCTTCGGCGCCCTGCTAACGGCACCCCGCTTACTTTAGGCGTGCTGCTGCTTAACGCTGTCCTCACAGTCCGAGCCCATCAAGCCAATTCGCACAGAGAGAGGGGCTGGGAACAGCTCACAGACGCCGTGGTCGCCTGGCTGAATGTGAACCTCGATGGCCTGGTTTTCATGCTCTGGGGATCCTATGCTCAGAAGAAAGGCGACTCCATTGACAGGGTACGTGTGGCCGAGCCTGGAAGCTGGCTTTTGGCAAGAGCCCTGTTTGCATGCTACTTTAAAACTGGATTGTGTGAGCCAGTGAGCTACTAGCCAAGCTGTCTTCAGGTAAATAAAAGGTACATTGGTTATTAGCGGCTTGGGGCATGCTGGGGAAAGCCCAGCATCAAAGAAAAGTTACCAGGTCCGGCACAGCACAGGTGACTGATCGGACACCGCACGGGTTCCTGTGCCCTTTGAAGCAGAGAACGCGTGCGTAGAAAAGCTTTTGTAGCGCATCGAAGTCCTCAGTCTTGTCCCTGACGCTTTGAAGAAAGGGGCAGTTTCAGGGTCTCGCCTTGGAACTTCCTTCTCCTGCTACACAAGGCCCCAGCTACACATCACACGCAGCTATAAGCTGTTTGCTCACCGTAAACTGTGAGCCTAACTGGTTCGCTCCTTACGCTGGTGGGAGAGCCCAGACGCCGGCTTGTTCACCAAACCGGGATTGAAACAATCAAGCCTTTGCGCAGCAGATGAATTTCAGTGAAACTACTTGATTTTTAAAAATCAATCCAAGCGCAACGTCCCAGTTCAGTAGGTGCAGAAATGAGGCCTGCTGGTACGACCTCTTTGCTTAACTGACTCTAGCCACTGGAGAATCGGGACCCCCGGGGCTACCCTGACTTCTCATCTGAGCACTTTAATCAGGCGGGAACGGCACGTCTAACGCCTCTGGCTTCTTGCAGAAACGGCACCACGTCCTGCAGACAGCGCATCCCTCGCCCCTCTCGGTGCACAGGGGCTTCTTCGGCTGCAAGCATTTCTCCAAAACCAACGAGTTCTTGAAGAAATCCGGGAAGCGGCTGATTGACTGGAGCGCCCTGTAGGGGTCCTGCAGCTCCCTCGAGGCCGGAGGACCGCCGTTCGTGTCCCCACCAGGCCGGAGAGGCTACGTTGAAATACTCTGACTGATTTCTTTGGAGCCGATCTAAGCCGTAATTTTCCGCCCTCTTCATTCAGGAGTCACCTAGGTCAAGGCATTTACACCAAGCATCTTTTTTTTTTAAATCTTGGGGCATTTAGGGGCATTGCAGCCTTTTTGTTTGAATTCTTGACCCGTGTGGAGAACGTCGTGCCAATCTGTTCTAGGCAATAACGGCCCGGGCATTTTTGTTTTTCGTTTCCCTATCTTAGGCTTCTTAATGGAAAATAGAAATATCGACAACCGATAGGCTGCCTTTTTTACTTTGCCTCTGCTGAAGAATTCATTCAGTAAGCGGTTTATTTAATCCAAAGGGATGCCCCGCCTAGTTCCCCCAGCTTGTCTTTTTCTCGGCTGTCGATCTTCAGGAGGCGCTATGAAAAATAATTCTGTTTCTTGACTTGCGGGAAGTGGAGCGACAGACTGAAGGAATTCGCTTTTTTGCCTTTCGGGGCCAGCAGAGGATTTCAAGGCACGGCCAGGATTCCGTCGGGCGAGTTATATGAGTAGCACGGGGAGGGGAGGAAAACCAGAAGGCGGAGCACAAACGTTCCCCTTCTGACATTAGCCTGCGTTCGAATGAGCGTTAGCTGGCTTCGGGCGCCCTCGTGGCGCGGAGGGCAAAAGGTCCTGGGGGGCTGCTGACCACCCCCCGCGTCTGGGGCGCTTCGCCAGGACTCGGGGCCGCCGGCTCCGCCCCCAGCCCGGGCGCGCCGGCCGCGGGCGTCACCTTCGCGGGCTTCCCCTCGTCGGAAGAAGGGGCTGCTCCGCTGTCCTATGCAAATTGCACGACGAGGACTTCTGCCTGGTATATTCGAGTACCAATTTCGGACACTTTTTAAGAAAAAGGTCCCTGTAACACTAGTGCCCGTGTCGGATTCTTTTATAGTCACCGTTCCAGAGTTTTGAAATAAACGCGTTTCTGATACCGGCTTGCTCGACTTCCTCGGGGGAGGCCGCCTCCTGACCCGCGCCCCCTGCTTCCGCGGTCCTCGAGGGGAGCGAAAACC